GTCATGATAGTGGGAGCGGGAGGAAACATTTAGGAACTAGAGGAAAGTTGTATTTCTCATCATTGTTACATCGCACCCTGACTGGCTCATCTCCTCCCAGAGACCCCTCTGCAAGGGGATCTCCAGTGGCCTACTAATGGGCATGGGATCTCCACTCCGAAAATTATTTTTTTAAAAAAAGATAAAGTTAAGAGTTAGCCAACTAATTCTTAATCATGACTACAGAGATTGTAGGAACCCTGATGACTTAGTGATTATACATTGGGCTGCTAACTGCAAGGTTATCAGTTTGAAACCAGACACTCCATGGGAGAAAGATGGGGCTTTCTATTCAGATAAACAGTTACAGTCTCGGAAACCCACAGGGACAGTTCTACCCTATCCTGTGGGGTCGCTATGAGTTTGCATAGGCTAATGGCAGTGAGTTTGTTTTAAATATAGTACAGAGAATTTTTTATTGTTTCAAAAATGCCAGCACACAATTCAATTTTATAAATTATACACTTAAATTACTGTGTCTACCACTGGAAATATATGAGGGGTACGCTTAAAAAACTGGAAAAAAGCTCCGCTGGCTAGAGCTTTTGTTTTATGCATTTTTCGCGCTAGGCTAGCATCGAGCAATTCACTCTCAGTTAGTGTACCCAGTGGCGTCGCCAGGGAAGGTTTTCTCTGTTCACGGTGAATTTTTTTTTGGTAAAAGCAGTTTCTCTGAACCACGTTTTTCTGTGATGGCCAATTTAAGAGAATAACTTGCGGCTGTAAAAGTTTGTTTCCTACTCTGGAAAAGTGCCGCAGAAACTGTTGTGATGTTGAACACAGCTTACAAGGACAGCACTATGGGAAAAACTTAAGTGTACAAGTGGTTTCGTGTTTCAAAAAAGATGAAATGTCGATTGATGTCAAACCTCATTCTGGATGCCCGTAACTTCCTGAATAAACAAAAATGTCAACAAAATTTGTGCACTTGTGCTCGAAGACTGATGACAATGGACCATTGAAGAGATGGGGGAAGTTATCTGGACTACCTTGGAGCCTGGTTCAGCGAATTTTAACAGAAGATGTGGGAATGCGAAGGATCACTGCAAAATGTGTGCCTCAGGCTCTGACTGACCCAGAAAAAGTGTTGAGTGGAAACATGCTGTGCTTTGAAAGAACAGCTTCAAAGGGACTCAGACTTTTTTCCCAAGGTCATTACTGGTGATGAGACAGGGTGCTCTGACAACTGCCAAAGCAAACATCAATCAATCCATCATCACCTCGCCCCCCAAAAGATCATCTAGTGAAATCAAAGATCAAGATGATGCTCATTTGTTTTTTTGATGTGAGGGGGTTAGTGCATTTGGAATTTGTTCCACCATGTCCAACTGTTCATCAAGCTTTCTATTTAGAGGTTCTGAAAAGATTGCATAACAGTGTGTGACAAAAAAGTTCTGATTTGTGGCAGACAAGAGGACTGGTTATGCCACCACAACAATGCACCTGCTCACACAGCCATCTCAGTGCGCCAGTTTTGGGCAAAAAAATAGCATGCCTCTCTTGCCCCACACACCTTACTCACCTGACCTCGCTCCGTGCAAGTTCATTTTGTTTCTGCGAATGAAGAGGGAAATGAAAGGACAGCAATTTGATGACGTACAAGACACGAAGATAAAAACAAGGGAGGTGCTGTCAGCCATCCAAACAGATGAGTTTGAAAACTGTTTCCAAGAATGGAATCACAGATTTGACAAGTGTATTGTAGAGTACTTAGAAGGTGATAAGGTTGTTTTGTAAAAAAATTTAAATACATGGCTTTGAAAAAAATATTCCGGTTTCTTTTGGGGGTACCCCTTCATATACTGAGCACTAAAATCTGCATGTGAAAGTGGGATATTGAGTAAGGAAGACTGAAGAAGCATGCTGAAAGTACCCTGGACTACTAAAAGAAGAACCAAGTCTGTCTTGGCAGAAGTACAGCCAGGATGCTCCTTAAAAGCAAGGATTGCAAGACTTTGCCTTACATACTTTGAATATGTTGTCAGGAGAGACCAGTCTCCGGAGAAAGACATCGTGTTTGCTATAAAGTAGAAGGACAGTGAAAAAGAGAAAGGCCTTTAATGAGGTGGCTTGACAGGGGCTGCAACAATGGGCTCAAGCACAGAACAATTGTGAGGACGGTGCAGGACCAGGCAGGGTTTTGTTCTCTTGTGCCTGGGTTGCTGTGGGTCAGAATTGACTCAATGGCGTCTAACAATAACAATTCAAATATTTGAATTATAAGGTGTTTCCAATCAATGTAATCAATATAATAAAGATAACCACTTTGATTTTATGAGACCCCCATGACTACTCCGGTTCCCTTCTGGGCTTTGCTATTCTCACAAGGAGTTTTGACCTTAGCCAGAGTCTGCACCTAAGGAGCTAGAAAAGTTTTCTTCTTTTTTAAAAAAAATTGTTTTATTGGCATTTAGTCCACATAGCATACAATTCAATAGTTCAATCAGATCAAGATGAGTGTTCAGTGTTTACCACAATAAATTTGAGAGAAAACGTCTCTGAATCACTCAAGTCCTACTCTCAAGATTCTGTTTGTATCAACTTGCCACTTGAATTGTTTGTCTTGAATATTTCTCTTTTAAACAACTCACTTTTCACATTTAGCATCATCATAAGCAGTGATGTTAGCAAAACCAAGGACTTTATGTACTAGTCATTTTTCTAATTTGCATTAAAATAAAATGATTAGCATTAGATAAAAATGCTAATGTCTGACCTAATATCATTTGCATACCACCAGTGTACTCATACCATGCTTTCAAGGAATTCTGAGCTAGAAGAATTTGGACCACTCGTTTTCTAGCCAGTCTGTTTTCAAAAGAGCTTTTATTTTTATTCTCAGAAGTTTATCACACATACATACACACAAAATAAAATATGCCTTTGTGTTATAAATAGAAAACATAATAATTTGCTTGGTAGGCTTCATGGGGAAGTCTATCCTGTAGCTTATTACCTTGCATGGATATCTGATTAGGGAGTTGTAGGTCTTAAAGCCATTGTGAGGAAGTAAGCATCATTTAGATAGAAACATGATTTCCCGCCTGGGTCCTGGGATTCATGTACGTTTAGCAAAATGGTTCTTTTTGATATGCTTCTTTCCTTTCATGTGCTCACACAGTTTTTCAGTACCATGGGAGCTGTTACAAATAATATGCAAAGATTGGGAGAAAAATTCGCTTAACTGCTGTGGTAGTTACATAATCTCGTGTCAATTTGAGAGGAGGATTAGTGAAAAGGTGGAGTCTAGTCTGTCAATCGGATCATTGCCAATGAGGCCTCTGTGTGGGCATGGCCTTCTCCTGAGAATTCTGGGAAATCTTATTTTCCTCCTTGGAGGTGGGAGACATTTCTCTCTGCTGACTCCGTGCGATCCCTGGGAGACATCCCTGAGAAGAAGCCACACGGACCTACCTTGATGCAGCCTTGGAAGTTGGAGAAGCTATGTGGAGACCCCTGCCAGTGCTGATATGCTTACACCGCCACTGGATCCAAAGACTTTCTACCCACTCGCCTGTGACTGTCCTGCATTCGGCATCATTGCATGTGTTTCATGAGTCTGAAGAGGACTTTATAGATTGTATGGGGCATATGGGCTAATATCGGACTTATGGGCTTGGACTGAACTGGGTTGGGATGCATTCTTAATATACAATTACCCTTTATATAAAACTCATATATATATATGTGTTTCTATGGATTTGTTTCTCTAGTCTACCCCGACTAACAACTGTATATGATGCTGTATGCTGTCAAGTTGATTGCTACACTTAGTTGCATGGCATTCCCTAGGCTAAAATCTTTACAAGGACAGATCACCAGGTTTTTCCTCTCACTGTGAAAGAGGTGGGTTCAAGTTGCCAACTTGTATGTTAATTAACAGCCAAGTGTTTAACCACTGTGCCCCTAAGCCTCCTTCAGCTATACATCCTACCGTGAAAACAGTTTCTACAGCCTTAGCAAAATCTTTAGAAAATGACATTTAGTAGAAATGACATATGAGTGCAAGGTACGTTGTGATCTTAAACCATCTTCTCTTGAGCTGTTGAAATCAGAACTACTACTGCTTTCACAGGCCATACTCGCTCAATTGCCTAGAAGTTCGATTTAGATAAAAGCTTATCGGACTCGGGCTCTTTCCTAGATCTTTGCTGTGTTAAGCTGCTATTATGTACACACGTATACTAATGGCTTTGTTATTTTTCTTTAGGATTCCAGACACTTGAATTTTCTGACATCAGAACAAGCCCTGGCTGATTTTGCAGAGATAGTCAACTACTTGAAACACACAATTCCAGGAGTTAAGAACCAGCCTGTCATTGCAATCGGGGGCTCTTATGGTGGCATGCTAGCAGCATGGTTCAGGATGAAGTACCCTCATATGATAGTTGGGTGAGTGTGTTTCTGTTGGCCACAGGTAGTTCTTAGTGATTGTCAAAGCAAACTTAGAGATTCGTCTCAGGTACAATATTTCCCATTCTTCTGTACAGACACTTCTAGTTTTCTCATCATTTTAGTTTGATCTCAGTGTCAACTTTAAAATGATAATTGAGTTACATTTTCCCCCTTTTTTCCATCTTGGTTTTCTTCACCATTTAGAGCTCTTGCAGCTTCTGCTCCTATCATGCAGTTTGAAAATTTGGTACCTTGTGCCATGTTTATGGAGATTGTTACCAGAGATTTTAAGAGAAGTAGCCCACATTGTCCGGAAAACATCCGCAGATCGTGGGGTGTCATTGATAAACTTGGAGCTTCAAGTAAGTTTTTGTCAGGAAGTTGGAATGTGTGCGTGTGTGGTGTGTAGTCTGTGTGTGGCAGAGTGGTTTCATGTTGGTCTGCTAACTGCAAAGTCAGCAGTTCAAGGCCACCAGGAGCTCCTCAGGAGAACTCCTGTAAAGAGTGACAGTCTCAGAAACCCACAGGGACAGGTCTTCCCTGTCCTATAGAGTTGCCATGAGTTGAAATCAACTCAACGGCAGTGAGTTTTTGTTTTTATAGCATACATACAAAATTGAACAAATATCAGCAGCTACAGCTTAATGGATTTACACAAAGCAAAGATGTAGTGTGACTAGTATTTAGCACCGCAGATATCCTATCTTACCCCTTTTAGTCACCCCCTTCACATCCACCAGAGGGATGACTAGTCTGACTTCTAGAACCGTAGATGAATTTTTCCTATTCTTGAATTTTCTAGAAATTAAAATCATAGAGTCATTGAGATCATTTAGCAATTGAAATCACATATGAGTGTATTTTATGTTTTTTATCTTTTGGTTGACACCGCCATTTGTTAGATTCATCCTTTTATTTTGTTTGCATTTATACATTCTCCTTGCTATATAGTATTCCATAGAATGAATATAACCCAAACCCACTGCCCTTGAGTTGCTTCTGACTCATAATAACACTGTATAGAGTTCCCTAAGATGTAACTCTTTATGGGAACAGAGAGCCTCGTTTTCTCCTGTGGAGCAACTGGTGGGATTGAACCACCAACTTTGAGGTTAGCACATCACCTAGGTGCCACTAGGGCTCCTAGAATAAGCTTATTATTGTACAGTTTATATCTCTAGGCCATTCTCCCCATAATGGACATTGCAATGAGCTGTTGTAGACTTTGGCCATTGTGCTAAGTGCTACTATTATCAAATTTGTCTAGTTGGATATCGATCTATGAATGGAAATACTGTGCCAAAATATATGTGTATATTGAGCTTTGGAAGATACTACTTAATAGTTTTCAAAAATAATTTTACCAAATTGTCTTCACACCCATAATTTATAGCATTTTAGTTCCTTTACATCAGAACCAACACCAGACCTTTTCATTTCCACTATTCTGATGGCTGTGTTGTTTTTCGTGTACCATCCAGTTAAGTAGTACCCTCCAGGATGAGTTTGTAATGATATGATATTATGCTTCAAATTTGCTTTTGCTTGATGACTAATAAGATTGAGTACTTTTACATTTTCCATTTAAGTATTTTATTTGTGAATGATCATTTAAGGGCCCAATTTAAAAATAATGTTGTTTGCCTCTAGCTTATTGGTTCGTATCAGTTCTTTGAGATGTAATTTTAAAATTACAATAGAAAATCGGTTCTTAAAAGAAAGTGGGATAATTCAGAATACTAATTCTGGTAAGATATGTGCCTTGTCTTTTGTGAGCTTACCCAGTCACTTGCTTTAAAAATCGTTTATTGAATGTTGTGGAAACATTGTTGGTGAAATGGAAGATTGCATTTTCTAAAATATGAAGTGAAGAACAAGTGCTGTATAAAGCCCTCTGTTGACTTTTTGAGAAGAATTAAATTCCAACAATGTGATTTTATTCTCAGGAAGTAGTTTGTATTGGCTTTCTGAGGCCCTTCACTTATGCAGCCCATTAACAGATTTTCACGACATCCAGATGTTGAAAGACTGGATCTCGGAAACCTGGGTGAACCTGGCCATGGTGAACTACCCGTATGAGTGTAACTTCTTACAGCCTTTGCCTGCGTGGCCTGTTAAGGTAATTCTTCTTTTACAATAGCATGTCTCCTTTCCCCGCCATGTCAGTCTCTGACTTTCAACAGCAGAGGAAGGTCCAGGCACGGGGGCTTTAGATTTAGTTAGACCTGGCCTGGAATCCGGGGTTCTGCGACTTACTGGTTACGGATCCTTGAATTTTTCTGTTTCCTCTTCTGAAATATTGAGATAAAATGTGTAAGTTACAGAGTTATATGGATCAGAATTAAGAATAATAGCTGTGTTAAGTCTTGTGCTGTACATGTTGCATGCATAGTTTATGTACTCTTCATGGCATGTGTAAAACATGTAGGGCCACGTAAGACATGATGAATGTTTAATAAATGTCAGCTGTTATCCTAGGCATGTGACTCAGTCTACTGCTAACGCATCCGAAGTGCTGCATAGAATGGGAGGAGTCATCCCATACAGAATGGTGGAGCAAAATTCTGACTTTCAGTCTAAAGTGGCTTATGAGGGTATATTGAATAAAATCGAATTTGAGGAATACAGAGAACAGTCTTAAAAAGAGTAGATTTATCTCAGGTTAAGAAAATCTGGCTCCAAATAATGAGGAGCCATGAAATCAAACCCCCTCGGTCTCCTTAAATGTGTATGTGCTAATAATGCCTTCTCCTTCTTTTGCTTCATTATCTATAAATCAAGGAGCCCTGGTGGCATAGTGGGTTACGTGTTGCGCTGCCAACCACAAGGTTAGCAGTTTGAAGCTCCCATCCACTCCATGGGAGAAAGATGAGGCTTGCTACTCTTGTCAAAATTTACAGTGTTGGAAACCTATATGGGCAGTTCTCCTCTGCCCTATTGGGTCTCTATGAGTTGATATGACTCTGGCAGTAAGTATAGTATATTTATCTATAAAGTACTTTCATATATGTGATCATAATTATTCCTAAGGAAGATGCTATGTGGGGGAAAGGCATAATCTCAGTTTTACAGAGAAGAAACTAAACTTAACTAAGAGATGGTGGAAGAGCCCTGGCTGTATCATAGTGGGTTACAGTCTTGGGAACCCACAGGGCCGGTTCTACCGTGCCCTGTGTGGTCACTATGAATTGGAATTGACTTGATGGCAGTGAGCTCCAAGAGATGGTGGAAAGTGGGCTTTGTACTCGGTTCTACTATTGCCCAGATCCTCTGATCCTTTACTACAGTGCACTGAATTAGGAAGAGATTTGACTTAAACATATGATTGGGGTAGTTCACCTCCCAAAATGTGACAGCTTTCAGACTTCATTCTGTACAAAGTGAGAATTGTATTTGCATCTTTATTCCCTTCTGAAAAACAAATAAGCTACCAGATGATAAAAACATATGGTGAATTCCCATGTTATTTACAACAGGCAGGCAATTTTTTTTCTGTAAAAGGCCAGATAGTAAATATTTTAGGCTTTCTGGACTGTACAGTCTCTGTTGCACTTTCTCAGCTCTGCAGCTGTAATACCAAGGCTGCCATAGACACAACATAAGCAAATGATTTCGTCTGTGTTCTCAATAATTATTTATAGAGAGGGTAACAGTTTGGATTTGGCCTGGGTGCTGTAGCTTGCTACTTCCTAATCTAGAAAAAGATTGAGTTTGTTGGTTTACCTCGTTTGGGAGAATGAGCAGTCTAACTTTAGTTTCCTCCCCAATTTTTAAAGTTGCTCTTGAAGTATTTTGCTTTTGAATCTTAAGTGTAAATAAATATTCTACTCTTTCTTTCTTCTGAGCAATAGGGTCCATTTCAAAGAGCGTGTCCTGTCTTAGTGATTTAGCACAATCCTTTTTTTGTCTTTTGTATATATTCATTTCAGAAGCTTAGTTTTGAGGCAAGGTACCATCGTGTCTTTTGTCCTGCAATCACCTTTCAGTTCTTTTACCCAGAGCTAGTTCTTGTTATTTCTTACTGACATCACCATTTCTCTTAACCTATGAAGGGATGTTAAGTTGCTTATACTACACTTCTGATTCCGTTTCCTGCCAGCACAGGTCCAGAATAAGCCTCACTCTTTGCCTCTTGCTTGGCAAACTTCCATTGCCTCTATGCAGTTCCAGTTTCGTCCTATAGTTACCTATCTGGTTTTCAGAATTTTTCCCATTAATGTCCCCCTAGCAAACTCCTAGCTTTGGATCACTTTCTTTCAGTCTTCGTTCTGTTCTCCTTTCTTGACCCCTTCTCTGTTCCCTCAACCCACTAATCCCTTGAACACTACCCAGTTGGGGGACCACTCTTTCACTTGGATAGTTCCATTTAGCCAGGATTCCTCCTCCCTCTGAAACACTTCCTCCTTTTTAAAGGGCTGACAAACAGTCAGTCTGCCTTTTTTCTGCGTCTGTGACTCAGGCTTAGGATCGTTAGCTAATATGTTGCAGTAGGGTTATGAAAGAAAGAAAGCAGATGGATTCCAGTTCTGACTGGAACCTGTACAATTCTGAAGGACCCACAGGCAGCGACTAAATGCCATTTTCCATGTCAACTCAAGTATCATTCTTTTTAATTTGTCCATGGACTTTATACACTCAGGCTCCATTTGCTTTTGTTTACTGTTAACAGAAGCTGCAACATTCATGCAGAAATAATCATGGACTTGGCTGATAGAATACAAAGAAGATAAAAGGAAAATAGAAAATCCCTCTGTCATTTGACTATTCTACCAGCATAAAAACTCTTTTGATTCTAGGTCTCTTCTCAGTTGAAAGAGCAGCTTTAAAAAAAAAAGATACTGTAGAGTGTGTTTATTTTGGAATCATTTTTCAGCTGATAATGCACCAAATCTCTTAGCGTCGCCATTTGAGCATGCAGATAGGTACAGTGAAATAATAAGACATAAGATGGAAAATCGCTTCCGTATGTCCTGTTGTTTGATAATGTATGCGACCTCTCTGGGTGGTTTAAGCGGTTTAGGTGCATTCTATGAAAAGGGAGCTTTTAATGACAAAACTAATGTGATTATCTGAGCAAGTGTGAGAGGGGTATTGAAGCCTTAGAGAAAGAAAATCTGTTAGAGAAGCTGAATGTATCTGCTTAATCCTTTCTTTAATGTGGATGGACCATATTCTCTGAGAGGAGGTTGGTCTTTTTCTTTTCTTTTAACCTATCTTCTTTTCTTCCTTTTTTAAGACTTTTTTTGTGTCCCCTTCATTTTCTTTCCCATATTCAAATACTTATTTTTGGAGGCAGAGACACTTAAAGTTTTTAAACAAATCATTATCTCTACTTTCTTTGGTAGACATGGGGTCAAAAGGTAGAACCTAAATATTTGGGGACAGAGCCGATTAGCTTGGTAGTAAGGCTGAAATGTTTTATTTGTCTCACCGTTTGTACACTCTTTAAAATCAAAGTTATTCAGGTGGATTTCTAACACTCCTGAAATCGTTGTCTTGAATTCTCTGGGAATTCTCTTGATTTGCTCTGGGAAATGGAAGGTGAATGAGATGTGTCTATTTTAAGTGTTCCTCTGTGAGCTTGCATTACCCACCCTGCTAGCTCAGTGTTTACCTCCTACTGTTGCAGAATCAGAAAGCTTCATTTTTTTATTGATCTCTTCTCAGTTTTTACCTAAAGCAAATATATTTGGAAAAATATAAGGACAATCTAAGAATCTAAGTATTTGTTAAAGAAAAAATAAACCTGAAAGGTGTGTTTAAGTACCGTTTGTGCTCTTGTCCTCTTACACTATAACTTGTAAAGTGGCGGATGTGTGCTGCCGGGGCTGTGAGTGCAAGCTCCGGTCAGTCTACATTTGCATCTTGGCTGTGCTACTTGCCCCTTCTTTTGCTTTGGGCAGCTGCCTTACCCTCTCTGTGCTTTAGTTTCCTCACCTGCAAAATGGGAGATAATTGTAATTGTAATGCTTATTAGAGTTGCTATGAGGATTCAATAGGACTTGGTGTGCAGTGCTCATTTAACATTGGCTACTGTATAATAATTATTATTACACTCATTCCTTACTTATTGGCATGGCTAGGTTCCAAAGACTAGGTCAGTATGCAAAAAATTGGTGCTTTGCAAAAGTGGAGGATGACGACATCACCTCACTGAGAGTATCCTGCAAGTACTCAGAGTATCCTGCAAGACATTGCTGAGGTTGGCTGTTAGTGCTCTCCTTCCCATTAGGTTACCTCAGGAGAATTCAGCTCCCATGGCCTCCTTCAGGGGAGGGCTGCTGGTCTTTCAGTGCCCAAGTGCCACTTGCCCCCATCATATCCTCAGGGCTCCCTCCTCTCCTGCCCTCACTCTGTTTTCAGGATGGGTGACTCTGGCTCATCTCTTTGACAACCCTAAAATGCTCTTGGTGGCTTTGTTAGGGGTAAGGGGCCACCCTACTGACCTAATGTGCTCCTTGAAGTTGCTCCCTGCAAGCACAACAGTGCTTCCTGCAGTTAGCTTCTTTCTGTATTACATTGCTTCTGACATGGATGGGAAGGCCTGAGTGCCACCAGTCTGTGTGTGTGGGTGGGGGGGTGGGGAGTTCATTGCTCATTTGGTCTCTCTGCTCATCTCTCCGCCAAGCATCCCAGGGTTATCAATGTATACTACTGGTCCGCTCTACAAGAATTGACAATCCAGTGCTTTCTCTGGGGTCTTGTCATCCAGGCCAGCCATTTCCCTCGGTGTTAAATTGTAGTTCTGCCAGCCACTCACCACTGATCCCACCACACGCAGTCAGCCTGTGCTTACTGAGGTGAGGGTATGGAAAAAGGATTGAATACGTGCCAGTCAGCTGACATGGGGTCCTGTGGGCTCTGGGCACTTGAGTGTCCTATCTCAGAGATCTCTCTGGTCTGTCTCTGTTATCCCTTGGGCCTGGGACCTGGGCCCAGGTCCGCGGGTCCTGCTTACTCCCTAGCACTGATGGTGGCCCCTTTCAGGATGCCAACTGTCACCACCTCTGCTTTATTTTAGCCCTCCTTTCTTTAGCTCATTCCACCCAGCAGCCTGGCAGCTCAGGAGACGTTTATTGTTACAAATGCTAACTTTTGCCTATTATGGGGTAGGTTATTATTATCATAACATTAAGAAAACAGATCATTTTATCAGGACTTTGTGGGCTCAGGGCTTATGTTTACAGTTTTTAAGTTGATTACCTGTAGCTGAACCTCCTAGAGCTTACTTTTCGCTTTGCGAAATAGGAACGACCATTATGTCACTTCTTTTAGTTAATGTCAGGAAAGTGCCAGGCCACAAGGAGTATTCAATAATTGTACCAGTAGCTTCCGCAGCTCTAGGTGATCCATTTCTGTGCATTTAGGGCATAAGGAGGAATGGTATACCTTAGGTAGAGAATGGTAGGCAAAACCTTTTTTCCAGTGCCCACAAAAGAAAAAGAAATTACAGAGCTGAGGCTACCTATTGAGTATTTTTCAAGAAAGTAGTGGTTCTCAGACTCTTCTCTTTGTCTATGATTTGATCGTAGCTCCATGGGCTTGCCCTCATCAAGTAGGTAATATCTATAAGTTGACAGGGTTAAACCAAAATGAGTATCATATGAAATTGAGCCAAAATTGCTGATATTTTACACTATTTGACTATAAAAATGGCATTTTCATAAAGTTGAATTTGCTATTTACTTAAATTTTATGCACCTTATGGATCTTTTATAAAAGTCTGTTAATAGCTTCTTTTGAACTGCTAATCTTTGAATAAGCATGGGAATAATGCAGAGTTCTTAGTCTGAATTATATGTGTGTGTGTGTGTGTATATATATATATATATATATATATATATATATATATATATATATATATATATTGTAACTTCACTCACTCTTTATTATCTAATTCTTTAAGGAAATGCATAGGGATATGTAGAAATTATGTTTTTATGCTAAAATATGGTGCTTTTTAAACTGCATCTTTGAGTTAGAAAGTTTAGAACCATGTAAAATAAAATTATCATAGTAAATGTGTGAATATTTTGTAAAACAAATTTCAGGCCTCCTAATTTAATACACCGGTAGAATTATAAATTGGTCCTTTCCTTAAGGCACTTTGACAGGATATATCAAAAGTCTCTTGTCACTTTGAGAACATCACTTTTAGGACTAAGGACCACCTATGAGCATGGTATTTCTAATCGCCTCATATGCACATGAAAGGTGGGCATTGTATAAGTAAGACCAAAGAAAAATAGATAGATTTGAATTGTAGTGCTGGTGAAGAATATTGAAAGTACCAGGAGCTTACAGAAGAACTAACAAACCTGTCCTAGAAAAATTTAGCCAAGAATGTCATAGAAGCTAGAGAGTGAGACTTTGTCTCACAACTTTGGACATGACATCAGGAGAGAGAAATCCTGGGAAAGGAGCTCATGCTTGGTCAGGGAGAAGAAAACCGTGGGTGAGGTGGCCTGACACGGTGTCCGCTTCATGGGCTCCAGCATCAAGACAATGAGGCTGACACAGCACCGGGCAGGGCTTGGCTCTGTTGGGCGGGAGCTGCTCTGTGTTGGCCTCAACAGTACCTAAAAAGAGCAACAAGCAGATGTCTTTACAATGTTTATTTGCTTCAAACCAGCAAGTTAAGACTTTATCTCAAGAAAACAATGAAGCATATGTGGAAATAGTTATCCCCAGGGCTGTTTATTAATTTGTAAGAGTGATAGGTTGACAATGACCACCAGTTATAGGGATACTTCAAGTGTTTCTCAATTCCCAATCCATCTTGTGCTCTGGATCTTTTTCAGGCTGCTCAGCGTGCTTCTTACAGGAGCCGGACCCAGTGCTCTGAGGGTAATCTGACTCCACTGATGACCGTGGACTCAGCATGACTGCTTTAATTGGGACCTGATATTTCTGTCAGTAAGCCCAAAGTTTCTGACCAGGGTATCCAGTCTGTTCAACCGGGGCTGCTGAAACCCAGTAGTGTCAGCCAGTGCCAGTTACCAGCCATGCTTATGTCTTTTGAGCAGTGACAGTAACTGCTGTTTGCAGAGATGGCTATTCATGGGGACTCCTTTTCTTTGCCTGACAGAGGCCCAGTGTTCCCGCTCTGAGAGGGGAACTGGTGCCAGCATGTGAGTCACACTCACTGCCATTCTTCCTTTCCGGAGTTCAGTCCACTTGGTGCTGTGTATTAGTCTCCCCTGGTGCCCTTGCCTCACTCGCTTTGTCACTCTGCCTCACCTACCGTGCTGTGTCTGAACAGGATGCCTCTCTCTGCATTCTGGGTGTCTATTCTGTGGTTTGTGCTGCAGTTTGGAGAAGCTGAGCCCACTATAGGTGTCCAGATCAGGAAAGAATGGTGACCAACTGTTGCAATGAACTACTATGATAGCACATTCCATGATTAGGTCTTGATGGTTGTATTTTCTGGAGTATTTCTGACTGAACTCACATTTTAACTCAGTTCTGTTTCTTTATGCATATGAACACTGATGGTGCCAAGGTTAAGCACAAATGGAAAGGTTAGGGCTTTGTACACATTTGACAGCTGTGTGGGAGAAGGATTTGTCTATCTGCTCCCATCAAGATTATACTCTAAAAGCCCTGGGGGGGCTCCCACTCTAGTATGTATGTCACCATGACTCGGTGGCACCTGGCAGCAGGGCTACACCAACCAACCCTGGGGTGTCTCCTGCTCTCGTCGCAACTTCTTAAAGGAGCAGGTAACATCTGAAATACATTTCTGACTTTCTCACATTCGGCACTTCCAACAGCTTCCTGCTCTCTTTTAGAAAATGACGGTGGTGGTAAGATGTCAAAGGCATCGCTTCCTGGCATTTTGGCTAACATCAACTGTAGTGAGATGTTCCCGGCTCTGAAGCACCCTGCCAGCAAGAGAGCTATTCATGTTTGTCCGTGCAGCATTGCCTGAGACTGTTTTAATTAACAAAACTTTTTTTTTTTTAATTCACAAAGTACCAACTAACATTCCATAGAACTATGATATTTTGGGGGAAAGGCCTTGAATTTTCCCTTACAATGAATTTGGGGTGGGGGGGCCTTAAGGGGTGGTGTTGAGTTTCTTTTCACTCAGGAAGGTGTTCCGGGAAGCAGGTCACAGGCAGAACTGGATGAAGAGTTGCCTCCCAGCTGCTCATTCATTTCCATTCTCAGTGACAGCCAGCCTTTCCCAGCTGGGAACGCGTCCTCAGCTCAGGCCCTCCTTACTTGGGCTCTCCAGAATCTCGGCTTTGCGGTGCGGGAGCTGAGCTGCCTCCTTTTCTGGCTCCTCCTTCTCCGGACTAGGTTCTTTTTGCCTCATGACTTCTCCATGGTGTATATCTTTTTCTTATGAAACAGGAAAAAACCGGATTAGTAAAATCATGTCAAGATGTTAGAAGACGATGATAGTGTAATGTATTTTCCTTCCAATGGGCTATTTGCAGTTTTTCAAGAGAGTATTTCCACAGCTGTGTAACCTAAAGGGCAAGATATATGTTTTATGACCAGAGAGACCCTGAATAATGTGATTTAAGTCTCCATTTCATGTGTAATAGCAGATAATAGATCTATGGGGTTATTTGCGGGTGAAGTCACATAATGCTTGTAAACCCAGGACTAATGTGTGTCTACTATTGTTATTGCTGTGGTTGTTACTCAGGTAGGAGTCTATGACCTCTGATTTTCAGTGCTAGAAGTTCCAGCGTTGATTTTAAACTGTAGTTAAAATATCTGGGAGCTGGGAAGTGACCTGGTACTTTTTTTTTTTAACCACACCACTCATGTTGGCACTTGATATAGTTTTTCAATGAGAAATTTTTATACATTTTGCATTGCCATAAAAATGTAGTCATTTAGTTAGCAAACATTTAGTTGCCAAGCGTTGAGGGAGTTGTCCTGGAGTTCTGGAACAAAGACCAGCTAAAATTATTACACGAGGATTCAACTCTGGTAGAACTAGTCACAACAAAGGAAGTGGCTGATTCTTTGCTACTTCGGGGCATTGCTAAGGCAGGCCTGAGAGAGGAGGTGATATTTCCTGAGTTCTGTGTTTCCCAGAAGCTGGGAGAAGGCCATGCCAGGAGGAGCAAAGGCAAAAAAGGGAAGGAGGCTGGGGTGGGGAGGGACAGTTTCCATAGATTAGCATGAGGGCTGCCCAAGAGGAAGGTAGGGGGCAAGGCAGGACTTTGCAGGTCTGCTCACCCTGTAAAGAACCATTTCTGTAGCCAGGGAGTTATTGAAGAGCTTATTAATTTATGAAGGGGCACTCTCAAGAGGACTTAGATACTTAAATGCTTAATGGTAAAATAAATCAGATTTAACCCCCCCCCCATCCCCCACCCACCCCAAACGGTTTTGTCCTAATATTCTGGTGATTCTTTCTTTTGTCTCTTTGGCAGGCAGTATGCAAACATTTAAAAGATCCCAAAGTATCTGATCAAGTGCTGATGCTTGATCTTTTCAAAGCTCTGAATGTATATTACAATCATTCAGGCCAGGCGAAATGCCTGAACATCTCAGAGACTACCACTAGCAATCTGGGGTCCTTGGGTTGGAGCTATCAGGTAAGTGTGGACAGTTTCCCCAAGTAGAACTTGCCTTTCACTGATACAGTTATGCTGTAACAGAAAATATACTTTATCACCTAACTTGTATCCATATCTGGGCTTTTTCATGCTACACTGTGAGACCATGGATAAGTGTCCTTGTTCATTCGTGTCTTTAGTAGTCATTATAAAGAATGTATATATGGGGAGGCACCAAAAAGTTCATGGAAAAGTTCCATTATTTTTCAATTCTACTTTTCCATGACCTTTTTGAAGCCCCTTTGTCTATTGTGTACTTACTAAATATCAGTCATTGTTCTAGGTTCCATAAGATAAATGAAACATGGCCTCACTATTAAGTACAGCCTGGTGAGAAAGACAGGTTAACTATATGCTAAGAAGTTCTATGAAGAAAGCATTTTATGGACACACAAAAGACCCACCCATTGTTGAGGTGATCCCCACTCATGGTGACTCTATGGGATTCTCTAGAGTAGACTGCCCCACGGCTTCCAAGGCCATCAGTTTGTACAAAAGAGGATCGCCACAGCTTTCTCCAATGGGGAGAGGCTGGTAAGTCTGAACCACCAACTTTGGTTGGCAGCCAAGTGCTTTAACCGTTGCCTCACCAAGGCTCTTGACAGAAAAGAAGCCTTGACTTTTTTTAAAAGCAGTTTTACTGGCACTTCATGTACATATCATACAATTCAATAGTTAAATCATATCAAGAAGAGTTGTAAAATCATTACCACAATCAATTTTAGAACAGTTTCTTCTTTCTTGTATTCACTGTTATTAGTGTAAACCATTGACCCTTTCTGAGCCTCAGTTTCTATGGTGAGATTAATAATAACATTTACTAATCAATCTCCCCTGACCATGGACCAGGGATGTGAATAGCCTTGCTAACACAGAGAATGCATACAGCGGTTCTCAACCTGTGGGTCCTGACACCTATGGGGGTCGAACAACTCTTTTATAGGGGTCACCCAATTCATGACAGTAGCAAAATTATAGTTATGAAGCAGCAACGAAAATAATTTTATGGTTGGGGGGGGTCACCACAACCATAAAGAACTGTATTAAAGGGTCACGGCATTAGGAAGGTTGAGAACCACTGCATTAGAAAGTGGATTGCTACAGATGCAGTGAGGCTAAAATTTAGTACCCCATCATTTGATCTCCCTTATGGTCCATTTAAATTTGTTCTAGTTTTTAATATTTTTTTCCTTTCTTTTTTATTGAAATTTTCATGTTTTACTTTGTTATTGTTGTTATTTTTGTTTTTTAATATTTTTCTGTATATGAAATCCAGTGTAGGTAAATCTATAGAAACAGTAACTGGATTAATGGTTCGTTGGGGATATGACAGGGGGTGTTGGGGAAAAATGGTGAGCTATTAAGGATTAGTACAAGAATGAAGAAAATGCTTTAAAACTGATTTTGATGATGATTGTACAAGTCTTCTTGATGTGATTGAACTGGTGAATTGTATATAAGAATTATGTATCAATAAAACTGTTGGGAAACAATAATAATATTTACTTCCCAGATTTGTTTTGAGAGTTCAGTATAACTAGATGTGAATGAAACAATGTAAGTATAACAATAGCTGTGAATGAAACAATGTTTACAAAGAAGGGATAGATAGTCTTAACTTCCATGACTTTTCAGCCACACTTCCATTGAACAATGAGAGGCTGCATGGCACAGAGGTAGATAGGGGGGGTTGAAGCCAGTCCACCTGAGTTCAAAACCAGGTGCTACTAAATGAGTGTATGGCTTCAGACACATCTCCCCACTTCCTTTTCTTTTTGAATTCTCTCCTGGTTTGCCTTTCAGGCCTGTACAGAAATAATCATGCCCCTCTGTACCACTGGTGTCAGTGACATGTTCGAACCCCACGCATGGAAGCCGAAGGAGTTAGCTGAAGACTGTTTTAAACAGTGGGGTGTGACACCCAGGCCTTCTTGGATCAGTACGATGTATGGAGGCAGAAACATTAAGTCCCACAAGAACATCGTTTTCAGGTGAGTGTTTGGTGGTGGGGAGTCTGCGTTGATGGAGGAGACATTTGTAGACGATCTCCGGTGCTAGAACCATGAAAATGCTAGCCAGTAAAACGATAGAGACGACAACAGCAGAGCCATTAGGTCTTCCTTTTCCTTGAAGTACAGAGGATGCTGGAAAAAAGTTATACTCTCCTTTTACCAAGGGACTTAAGGCTTAAGCGCAAGTAACCATAAAGCAAAACAAAAACCTCGGTAGCACAAAATGAAGTCTGAGCTATTTTCACAATTTACCTTTTTTAAAAAAATAATTAAATCTTGTTATTGGGGGCTTGTACAACTCTTATCAGACTCCACACATACATTTATTGTGTCAAGCACTTTTGTACATTTGTTTCCCTCATCATTCTCAAAACATTTGCTTTCTACTTGAGCCCCTAGTATTCGCTCCTCTCACAATTTATTTTATTATTATTAATGATGATTATAAAAGATTTTAGCATGTATTCAAGGAACACTTTGAAGTGACTAACAGACTGTGTTAGCACTGTAACAGGCGTAAGTTACCTAACTGGGTCCCCACAACAACCCTGTGAAGGAGACGTGAGTCCCTTTTTTAGTGATGAGGAAATTGAAGGTCACAGTGTTCAGTTTCCATGGCAAAGCTCAATCAGCTTGTTTGAGTTACTAAGCGATAAAGCCAGATTTCATCCTTGGCCTGCCTGACTTCAAAACTATTGGTTTTTCTTCTTTGGTGCATTACTTTTTTTTTTCTTCTCTCCATTTATCCATTTATTGGTCCATTTGTGAGGATTTTTTAAAAATTTAATTATCTTATTGGATGCTCTTACAGCTCTTATCACAATCCATAAATCCATTGTGTCAAGCACATTTGTACATATGTTGCCATCATCCTACATTTTCCTTCTACTTGAGCCCTTGGTGTCAACTCCTTATTTTTTCCCCTCCCTTCCCCCACCTTCCCTTTCTCGTGAATGCTTGATAATGTATAAATTATTATTTTCATCTTTTAAAAAATCATTTTATTGGGGGCTTATACAGCTCTTAACACAATCCATCCATCCATCCATTGTGTCAAGCACATTTGTACATTTGTTACCATCATCATTTTCTTTCTACTTGAGCCCTTGGTATCAGCTCATTCCCCCCCTCCCCCACCCCCCTCCCTCATGAACCCTTGATAATTTAAAAATTATTATTTT